GGCACAACAAACACCATGTACACACCATATTTACAAAGTTTTATATGCTAATGATCACCCAATGATTAGTATTAGCCTTGATATACGTGCTAAATATGTATCAAAATATGTAAAAATTTTAGTGTTCTAACTATTTTGGTATTACCTTCCCTTAAAGACAGACCATAAGTTGTCATTAGCATGATCCGTTGAAAAATAATAGTGGATCTTATTATTTTTACATATGATAGGTCCTATATTTATACATATGGTTTGTACGTAGGAGGTAAAAAGAAAGGGGGGTAAATATTCATGTATCATTTTCTTAGTCATCAAACCAAGACATACTCTCTGAGGATGAACTGTCTAGTACAAAAGCTGACTCCATTTTCATTTGGCAGACTTAGCTCTAACAGCATTACACTCTGGTAGGGGCCTCCGCATCAACCATAACTCAGTTGTACCAAATTTGCAGTCATGTGTGAAGAAATTGTTTCTCTAGTCGATTATAAACGTACCTATTTGCCTTAAAATAGCAAGAACATCAAGTACCCAAGACAAAATAGAAATTTCATTGCAAGTCGGTAGGGGCCGCCCCATCGATCACTCTCGGTGAAGAAAGACTATTGACTAGTTATATACCAAAACACAGAAAAAAAATCTAATATAAAAGCAATGAGACTTTTCAAACTTCAAAAACAACAAAATAAAAAGGATAAATTACGCGCAAGTATTCCTTGTAGTTTGCTCTCTTTAGTTTTAATTGACTGAATTTTAATCCCAGATTTTGAATTATGTGTCATTTTGGTCCAACCAAAAATAGAGGTTAAGAAACATTGGATGGAAAATTAGCATGTCATGTGATTGGTTTTGAAGGGCAAAAAAATCTATACTACACATTAATTTTTCTTTATCACTCTCAGTGAAGAAAGACTATTGACTAGTTATATACCAAAGCACAGAAAAAATCTAGACCACGCATTAATTTTTCTTTATCACTCTTGGTGGAGAAAGACTATTGACTAGTTATATACCAAAACATAAAAAAATATCTAGACCACACATTAATTTTTCTTTACACTTTTCTGTGCAGATAAGTTTACCATCTACTAAATATGATATACTAATGCATGAATACAAAATTTATCTTGAATATTAACTAAGGCAAAATTGTAGCACATCCTAGTACATTGATACATCTGCTAAAATTAGCAAAAATATAAGGCCACAAGGAGGATTGAGAACAAATAGTATTGTGATTGTAACTGTGTGGAAAAAACGGACCAAGGTAAGTGGAATCTTTCTATATTTTATGACTTCTCTTGGAGCACAAAAGGGAGAAACAATTATTCCCAAAAATATTCAAACAATAAACAGTCTTCATACTAGTTTCACCACTGGTATATGTTTGACTGTGCTGAATGGATCACAACCTGCCCATTAAATTCTCCTTCCATCCTTCATTTCCTGGGCCATTCTAAAAACTCCTCTCCTCTTACCTCTATTCAAATAGGAACTCAAATATAAATTTATTGAGCAATGTGTTGTTCCAAAGAAACACAAAAACTTGTGTAAAAAGAGATTGGTATCGTCATAGACTCATTTTCCAAAGGCACAACAAGGAAAATGTGTTGTTCCAAAGAAACACTTAGTAGTTTGTTCTACAATGTTTCCAGCTCCTCCTTCCTCCTCTTCCTCTTCTTCTACGTCACCTCCATTTTTCTTGCCAAACTCTTCCACTATTGAGGCAGTCCAATCTTCCACTATTCTGTTCTGCTGATCTGTTTCCCCTGCTGTAGTGTTCCTCTGCTATGTTGATCCATAACAGAAAATAAAAAAAAAAAACTCAGATTATTGCTGCGACTGCTACTCTGTTAAAAAGAGGGTCTGAGGGTTTGCTAGTCTGTAATAGTGTTGCTGATCTGTTCGTCGGCCAATATTCTTGGAATTAGTCTTCCATTGAGTGTAGCTGGCTGCTTTTGTTGGGCTTCTTGACAGTAATGTCCCAATTAATATTACTATAGTTTAGATTCAATGTTTGGGAAGACAAGTTAGATTCAATGTTTAGGAAGATAGTTTTATTTGTCAATGTTTGGAATACCTATAGTTATTAAATGTTATATATATATATATATAGAATGGTATAGATTTATTTAATTTTGTAATTTCGTATAGAATGATATAGATTTATACTAAATTACAAAAAATGTTATGTATATCAAAGGGGAAGAGGGGGTTATAATTATTAATGAATCGAGCTTATAAGTGAATATTCAACTTTTTAAAAGTCTTGTTTAAAGAGTCATAAAAACTAACATTGTTTGATTGTAGAAAATTGAGCTTTTTTTCAAAAAATAATAATTTAAATTTTAACAATAATATGGATCAAAGACATTTTTGACCCCTAAAGTATGCATTTTTTTTATCATTTGAATCCCTTAAATTTTAAACTTTGTCATTTTGATACTCAAAGTTGTCAATAAAATTATAAAAAATAAATACTTTAGGGACCAAAGTTATCTTTTTCTCAAGGATAAAATACTTTTCCTATTATCCATGTAAACAGATGTTAGAGATGTGACCAAATTGAGTCAAATTTAGTCCCCCAATTTCATGCAAACAGATGTTAGAGATGTGACCAAATTGAGTCTAATTTAGTCCCCCAATTTAGTCCCCCAAATTGAGTCTAATTTAGTCCCCCAATTTAGTCCCCCAATTTCATCTAATTTAGTCCCCCAAGGATAAAATACTTTTCCTACTATCCATAAAATACTTTTCCTATTATCCATGTAAACAGATGTTAAAATACTTTTCCCCTAATTTAGTCCCCCAATTTCATCCCCAATAATTTGAAATCAGGTGGCTAACTTCACGTGAGTCTTAATCACGTAATTGGGGTGAAATTGGAGGCCTTAATGGGGGATGTAGTGGGACTAATAAAAATTATGGATATATAATATGAGAAATGCTATGATAAGGTGTGTAGTTAGGGCGGTAAATGAATAGAATCGTTCGTAACCAAACTCGAACTCAGTTTGGTAAGGACTCATTTGAATATTCAACATATTTTACGTTAATGTTGTTCGGACATTCAAATCCAAACAAAACAAATCTTGTTCAGTACTGATGGTCTAAGTAGTGGGACTAATAAAAATTATGGATATATAATATGAGTAATGCTATGATAAGGTGTGTAGTTAGGGCGGTAAATGAATAGAATCGTTCGTAACCAAACTCGAACTCAGTTTGGTAAGGACTCATTTGAATATTCAACATATTTTACGTTAATATTGTTCGGACATTCAAATCCAAACAAAACAATCTTGTTCAGTACTGATGGTCTAATGATTATATTCAAGAAAATAAATCCAAAGAAGGAGAAAATGGCATATGAGTATAATGTCCAAACAATTTAGCGCTTGTACACGTATACAAAACTCAACTTCTTGTGATATGATTAGAAGGTCTGTGTTATCTGTGCTCTTTAATCGATTTAGCGTTCAAGAAAATAACTTTTCTGGACTGCTCTACCCTTAGTATATAAAGTATGAGATTTAGACTAGGATACACTGTGGTTGAATCCACACCTAAAGGATTTTAATTAACTCAATCCTTTATTTCATCTGTAATATAAGCGTGTTCAGATTGTGCTGTGGAGGAGCACTGATGCAATGAGTTGTGATGAGCCCATTGAGCTGGAGGCAGAGCAGCTCTGTTATGATATAGTTTTTAGGTGTTGTTTTGTTTGCTAGTGAAAGGTCTGATGATCTGCTGTTGAACTATCTGGTGATCTGGTGTTCTGTGGCTGGTTAGTCTTCATTGAACTATCTTTTAGTCTATTTGGCTTGTTGATCTGTTTGTCTGCTATCAGTCCTTGTGCTAATATCTTGGTGCTAGTCTGGTAGGTTATGGTGACTGTTAAGAGGGTGTGATTGCTGAACTAATCTGTTAGTAGTCTGCTGTTAGTGGCTAAGAAGCTGACCTAATCTGATAGTTGCCGATCTAATCTGTAGGTAGCTTGCTGATCTAGAGGAACCTATTAATGTTGTTTTTGCTAAGCTCATCAGTGGCTGCATGTAGTGGTTGTGTTGTTGGTTGCTGAATATTAGAGAATTAGAAATTAGAAATTAATTCATTTCCTGAATATTTTATTTCATTCTTTGGAGGCTGCTGAATACATTCTTAAACTATTTATCTGCTATGCTTCACCTAACCTAGTTTTGCTGCCAAGTGAAAACTTTGACTAAACTATATTTCGCACTATTTTTTTAATCTTTATTTCTTCTGAAATAAGCAGTAAGTAATGCTTAGATTGCTTATTTGAGAGAACCACTGTTCGCCATTGCCCTTGGCAAGTGAAACTGTTGGCTATTATTTCTTTTGTATTCTTCTTGACAAGCCCAATAAAACTACTATGACCCTTGGTGCATCTATTTCAAGAATAGTGAACTCCCTTCTGAAAGTGTGTTTTGAAAGAAAGGGATAATACCAACGTCTCGGTGGTTTTTTTTTTTTAACTGTTCTCTTTTAATGATATTGAATAAACTAGTTCGTAATATATTTCACATTATTTTGTGGTTAAAAGGATCATGGGCTTAAGTTTTAACTTTTTATGCTGTTAATTTGCGTTTAGTGTGAAAGGGAGTCTCTAGTTAGGTGAAAATACTGAATCTGTGACTTTCAATCTAGAGATTCTGAACTTCACTTTAATTACTATGTTATGTAGATGATGGTCTATTGGCATCAAATCAGCATGAAAGTCATGGCTGGGGAATTTGAAGTCACAAACTGACGTTGGATTAAGTTTTTAGACACAAATGTAACTACTACTACAAATTTGGGGCACTAGAGCCTAGGCCAAAACATCAAGCATAGATGGGTTAGGCATTGGGTCTCCACATTCGTGTTTGTTGCTCATCCTGATGTAGAGTTTCCAGATAACTTTATTAATTTTACAATGATGAAAGTAACAGGTTTTTTGTTAACACGACTAAGCACTCAAGTTTGTGTACTTCTGCTGATACTTGCTGCACAACCCACCTACCCCTGCAGGATGCCAGTGTGCGAGGCAGGGGCATGTGGGAAGTCATTGGTTGATTTGTCCTCTCATTTTTTGTAGGCTCACTTGAAAGGGATTAATTACACCTTAATTATTTATGTTTCTTGTTCTGCAGACAAGGCAAGCCTTTACACCAGAGCAAATAAATGAAGCATGTTATGTTGACATTAATTCCAACAAGGCTGTCTTTGACAGTTTGAGGAATAACCCAAAAGTGAACTATGATGGGAGGTGCTTCGCTTACAAGGTAAATCCTAATCTTTTCACCTGGAACCCTGGCAGACAATTGAACTTCTCTGTCTTCCCCAAGAGTTCATAGATTGTTACAGGTGCCTGCCCAAAAAGCTTCGAAAAAAAGTTGTCTTTGTGCTGAGAATTTACTTGGTCTTTATTTGATTACAGTCCAAACATGCTCTGGAGGACAAGAATCAACTACTCATCCTAATACGTAAATTTCCAGAGGGCATTGCTGTTATTGATCTCAAGGATGCATACCCAACTGTCATGGAGGATCTACAGGTTTGTGTTACCGCCTAAAATAATAGCCAAATACTTGCATGGACTTTGCATTATAACCTTTAATTTTCGTTTTTCTTGGAGTTTTAGAGCAAAATTTGTATTTTCTTCATAGGCTTTGAAAGCTGCTGGTCAAATCTGGCTGTTGTCGAACTTCGACTCGCAAGAGGACATAGCCTATCCAAATGGCCCTCGAGTGCCAATCAAGGTTGATGACGACCTGAAACTGCTATTCCGGGGAATTGAACTACCACGTGATATGATTGACATTGAGAAGGATCTTCAAAAGAACGGGATGAAGCCCACCACAAACACTGCAAAAATCTAGACTACACATTAATTTTTTTTCTGCCTCATTATCTAATTGCATTGAAATCTATTAATTGGGCAGTTTTTGCAGTCTTGGCTTCTTTTACCTTTGGGTAATTTTGCATACTAGGTATTTTACAGTGTTCCACATGCATGCTTAAGCTTCTCACACGTGGTTATGTAATGCATTCTATTTTTAAAATGTTGACTTACATATGATCGAAAGTCTGGATATCTCTTCTTTTCCCTTTTGTAGGTGCTCTTTCATACCACTTCTTATGAACATTCTGCCTCTGTGAGAACATTCACGGACACGTTGTAACTAAATCTATCACGGGGGGATGGATAAGTAGAAAGTGCTTGAAAATATCGATTTTATACAAGTTCTTTCCTGAGAAGTTGAAAATTTCTATATTTACCTTTGATGTTTTGGACATGTTAGATGAAAACTATCAGTTTCATCAATAAGGATGCAAAGTGCTTAGTCACATAACATAACAGTTGTTAGCAATGATATTGGCTAAGAGGAAACTGGTTATGGTTCCCAACACTGACAAGTCTGACACAACTTGTTACACTGATTTCTCTGGGGCTCTTTACATATTGAGCATTATTTATCTCTCGAGATTTTTCATCCAGCTGGGGGTTGGATAATGTGAGATTTCTTTGGGTAGATCTACAGTGTTCAAATATAGAGGTTATGTTATAGACTTAGCAAAAAAATATAGAGGTTGTAGAAGTTTTATAGTTCCTCCAATACTTCTTATGCTGTGAGCCTTGAACTTATTCCTGCTGCTGATACTTGCTGCACAACCCACCTACCCCTGCAGGATGCCAGTGTGCGAGGCAGGGGCATGTGGGAAGTCATAGGTTGATTTGTCCTCTCATTTTTTGTAGGCTCACTTGAAAGGGATTAATTACACCTTAATTATTTATGTTTCTTGTTCTGCAGACAAGGCAAGCCTTTACACCAGAGCAAATAAATGAAGCATGTTGTGTTGACATTAATTCCAACAAGGCTGTCTTTGACAGTTTGAGGAATAACCCAAAAGTGAACTATGATGGGAGGTGCTTCGCTTACAAGGTAAATCCTAATCTTTTCACCTGGAACCCTGGCAGACAATTGAACTTCTCTGTCTTCCCCAAGAGTTCATAGATTGTTACAGGTGCCTGCCCAAAAAGCTTCGAAAAAAAGTTGTCTTTGTGCTGAGAATTTACTTGGTCTTTATTTGATTACAGTCCAAACATGCTCTGAAGGACAAGAATCAACTACTCATCCTAATACGTAAATTTCCAGAGGGCATTGCTGTTATTGATCGCAAGGATGCATACCCAACTGTCATGGAGGATCTACAGGTTTGTGTTACCGCCTAAAATAATAGCCAAATACTTGCATGGACTTTGCATTATAACCTTTAATTTTCGTTTTTCTTGGAGTTTTAGAGCAAAATTTGTATTTTCTTCATAGGCTTTGAAAGCTGCTGGTTAAATCTGGCTGTTGTCGAACTTCGACTCGCAAGAGGACAACGTGAGGAGATGCAGCGGCAGCTTTTTGGACTTCAGAGCACGTTGGCGCAAGTTTTGGAAAATCGCAATCTACCAAATTCTCGACAATAGATAGTCATGGTAATTGGTAAGTGTGTTAAACCATATTTGATTATATTTATGTTCAAAGTAAAGGCAAATAAACGTTTGATGAGAATATCATAGAGAAATGATTGTCTTTAAACTAATTTTTGTTTAACTATATAAAAGATGGAATTTACAGTTTAGTTTATATTGACCAGTATAGAAACTTTAAACATTGTAATGTTCCACTGATCCAAGGATGACTAGTTAAACAAGAATTTGTGACTGTTCCATGGAAACCAAAATGTGATAGATAAGGCAAAAACGAGCCGGTTGGGGCAAAAAGTTGGAAACATCTTGGAAACAACCCGAGATCGTAGCGGTCACCTCGGCCTAGATCAAACAAACTTGTGAAAGCAAGCAACGCTTCGATAGGACGCATTATTAGTTATGTAGGACATAAAAGTGTGACAAAGTAGGCAAAACCGGGGCATTTGGGGTCCAAAACTGCTCTGAATTAGCTCCTCTCTATTTCTTTTTTTTCCTTCTTTTCTCTTCCTTTGGTGGTCTGCATGGTGAAGTATTGCATCAGTCATGAAGGTGGACTGATCTGGAGCAATTTTGGTGGTCTGCATCAGATCTGTCTGGATGCTTTCGGTGGTGTGCTATATATGGTGGTGACTATCAACACCAATTCATAGTTTGTATTTATAGGTGACAGTCAACTATAAATACAAACTATTAATCATCGATGTATCAAATTTATTAGAGAGCTGCTATATATTATTTTTTGTTTTAAACATTTTTTTATATCACTGATCAATACATGCATGATAAATATAAAGTAATATATTAGTATTTGCTTTTTCTAATACTTATCTCTAAATAAAAACGATTAGAAATAAAACTATCCAATAGTCACAAACTGGTTAAACGGGGAACTAAATTGTACAGGACAAATTGGCACTTTTTGTATTTTTGGAAGGATTATATATTTTTGTATAGATGTATATGGAAAATATTAGGGTAGATAGTAGTTATATTTTTGGATGTGTGTTATATTACCCCTTTCATAATTTTAAATATACCCTTATATTTCTAATCCCGGACATTCTCTTTACACCCATAAGCATTTCGAACCCTAACTCTCACACCCACCCCAATTACCACCTCTAGCTACCACATCATCTACTTCTAATCATCATCTTTGCAACCCTCTCCCTCTCTACGACAACCACTAGCAATCTTTACTTTCATTGTCTCCCGCTGCCACTACCCTACAAGACCACCACACAAACCATGTAGCCCTCCTACCCATCACCCCACAACTCCCACCCCTGCAACCAACACCCTAGAGCCTTACCATCACAACCACTACCTTTGGTTGTTAAAAAAATTTGTTTTATGTCGCCAAATGGCAAGATGTCATTTGTCTTCATTATTTCTTTAATAATTATTTTCTATCAAAGAATTAATAATAATGAGTATAAACAAACATAAATAATGATAAAAAAAAATAGTGACACAGCATTTTTATAAAAAAAAATTATATTAATCAATTCAAAATAATTAGGCTGTGTTTAAGTTTTGTACTTTGATGAAAATTTGTGAAGGAAAAGAAAAAGAGGAGAAAAAGGTGACAAAATTTAGGCTTGTTACTTCTTTTTCCCTCTACAAATTTCTACACAAGTCTATGACCCAACTGTCATGGAGGATCTACAGGTTTGTGTTACCGCCTAAAATAATAGCCAAATACTTGCATGGACTTTGCATTATAACCTTTAATTTTCGTTTTTCTTGGAGTTTTAGAGCAAAATTTGTATTTTCTTCATAGGCTTTGAAAGCTGCTGGTCAAATCTGGCTGTTGTCGAACTTCGACTCGCAAGAGGACATAGCCTATCCAAATGACCCTCGAGTGCCAATCAAGGTTGATGACGACCTGAAACTGCTATTCCGGGGAATTGAACTACCACGTGATATGATTGACATTGAGAAGGATCTTCAAAAGAACGGGATGAAGCCCGCCACAAACACTGCAAAAATCTAGACTACACATTAGTTTTTGCCAAGATAGTTTGGGACATAAGTGAGTAGTTCTGTTTCCTGTACATAATGAGATGGAGTTGAGGCTATTGGAAGGAGTAAACCAGGTTGACTTTTTGACTAACCTATTCGCGAGTGGGTTATTATGTTCAGGTGGGCACATTTTTTTGAGAAAATTAGACATTCATGTTTGAGAAAATTATGATCAAGAATGTCTTCCAGCCTGTTATAACATGAACAACAGATCAAGAGAAAACAATATACCGAGCATGTATTATGTGTACCTATGTGCATATATACATCTATGATTAAATGCATAGTGTATGCAAAGCTACTTAACTAATGCATTTTCTTCTTTCTTCCTCTTCTTCTTCTTTTTCTTTTTTTTTAATTATTTATTTTTTATAATCTTTTCCTGTCATCAAAATGAACTAGTGCATATTTAGTATGTTAATTTTGTAGGCAAGTAAGTGAAACTGATAGTCATCTCTCAACCACTCTCTCTCTGCTATTCATTTAGTAGTGATATTTAGTATCTTTTTTTTTTTTTAATTTTAATTTAATTTTTTTTTATAGCTTTTTTACAAATGAAAGAGGCAGAGAATACAAGACAACGTGAGGAGATGCAGCGGCAGCTTTTTGGACTTCAGAGCATGTTGGCGCAAGTTTTGGAAAATCGCAATCTACCAAATTCTCGACAATAGATAGTCATGGTAATTGGTAAGTGTGTTAAACCATATTTGATTATATTTATGTTCAAAGTAAAGGCAAATAAATGTTTGATAAGAATATCATAGAGAAATGATTGTCTTTAAACTAATTTTTGTTTAACTTATAAAAGATGGAATTTACAATTTAGTTTATGTTGACCAGTATAGAAACTTTAAACATTGTAATGTTCCACTGATCCAAGGATGACTAGTTAAACAAGAATTTGTGACTGTTCCATGGAAACTTAAACAAGAATTTGTGACTAAAAACGAGCCGGTTGGGGCAAAAAGTTGGAAACAGCCTGGAAACAACCCGAGATCGTAGCGGTCACCTCGGCCTAGATCAAACAAACTTGTGAAAGCAAGCAACGCTTCGATAGGACGCATTATTAGTTATGTAGGACATAAAAGTGTGACAAAGTAGGCAAAACCGGGGCGTTTGGGGTCCAAAACTGCTCTGAATTTTGGGGCAAAAAGTTGGAAACAGCCTGGAAACAACCCGAGTTCGTAGCGGTCACCTCGGCCTAGATCAAACAAACTTGTGAAAGCAAGCAACGCTTCGATAGGACGCATTATTAGTTATGTAGGACATAAAAGTGTGACAAAGTAGGCAAAACCGGGGCGTTTGGGGTCCAAAACTGCTCTGAATTAGCTCCTCTATTTCTTTTTTTTTCCTTCTTTTCTCTTCCTTTGGTGGTCTGCATGGTGAAGTATTGCATCAGTCATGAAGGTGGACTGATCTGGAGCAATTTTGGTGGTCTGCATCAGATCTGTCTAGATGCTTTCGGTGGTGTGCTATATATGGTGGTGACTATCAACACCAATTCATAGTTTGTATTTATAGGTGACAGTCAACTATAAATACAAACTATTAATCATCGATGTATCAAATTTATTAGAGAGCTGCTATATGTTATTTTTTGTTTTAAAATTTTTTTTATATCACTGATCAATACATGCATGATAAATATAAAGTAATATATTAGTATTTTCTTTTTCTAATACTTATCTCTAAATAAAAACGATTAGAAATAAAACTATCCAATAGTCACAAATTGGTTAAACAGGGAATTGTGGCTCATCCAATTTATTCTATAGACATAAGAATGCTATTGTTTTATTTACAATTTGATAATGGTAGTCATTTTAATTTGCTAATGTGACCTTTGCTTTTCATGGACATTTTTCATTATTTGTCCAATTTTAACTAACATTATTTCTCTTTTTCTTTGGTACAGATGGATGAACTCGTGCACAAAGCTAAATTGTACAGGACAAATTGGCACTTTTTGAATTTTTGGAAGGATTATATATTTTTGTATAGATGTATATGGAAAATATTAGGGTAGACTAGTAGTTATATTTTTGGATGTGTGTGTATAGAAAATATTTGGTAGACTACTAGTTATATTTTTGGGTTGATGTACATGGATAAAAATTTAAAACATAATAACAAGTACTTGTTATGTGTTTAATTTTTATGCTAAATGAAATATGTAGTTTCGAATTATTTGCGGATGTAAACTTATAATAGTTGCTGACTTTAATTAAACAGGTTCAGAAATGGTTGATATATGTATTTTGTTGAATGTTGATGATTCAATTTATTTGTTGGTTTGAATGATTTTTTTTTTTTTTACAGATTATATTGAATAAATTGGATGGATTATTATAAATTACAGGTTTATTTTGTTGGGTATTGGCGACCAAAATTTGGTTTTGTTTTTATAGTTTTGGCGACCAATTGATTAGTCGCGGAATGTCCCAATTGGCGACCAAAAAAATTTTGGTCGCAGAATGTCACAATTGGCGACCATAATTTTTGGTCGCGAAATGTCCCAATTGGCGACCAAAACAAATTTTGGTCGTAGAATGTCACAATTGGCGACCAATTGATTAGTCGCGAAATGTCACAATTGGCGACCAAAAAAATATTGGTCGCAGAATGTCACAATTGGCGACCAAATTTTTTGGTCGCGAAATGTCACAATTGGCGATCAAACAAATTTTGGTTGCAGAATGTTACAATTGGCGACCAAATTTTTTGGTCGCGGAATGTCACGATTGGCGACCAAATTTTTTGGTCGCGGAATGTCACAATTGGCGACCAAACTTTTTGGTCGTTGAATGTGATACTTGGCGACCAAACTTTTTGGTCGCGAAAATATCACTTTTTGCGACCAAAGTGCTTTGGCGACAAAATAAATTAGTCGCGGTAATTAAACATTTAGCGACTAAAAATTTAGTCGCGAAATTCAACTTTTGCCGACCAACTACAATTTTGGTCGCGAATTACTTTTGCCGACCCTCAATTGGCGACCAAAGTAGCGACCAAAAAAATTGGTCGCGGATAACTTTTGCCGACCAAAAATTGACTTTTAGCGACCAATTTTTTTGTTGCCAAAAGTGTTAATTCTTGTAGTGTTATTTTGAAACTCTCTAAATCTTGCTTATTCAAAGAAAAAAAATGAGTGACCAAGACCAAAGTCACGAAGGTGATCCAATGTTGGTGGATGGCCAGTCCTCTCAATTTCCAGTCTTGGTGGATGATTCAATTTCAAAGCCTCTCAATGATGGCGAAGAAAGTCCTACTACAAGGAGAACAACATCGACGGTGTGGAAACACTTCAAGAAGCGAAAGATTGATAAGAAAGATAAGGCAAAATGTAATTACTGTAAGAAATTGTATTTGGGGGAAAGCAGACAATGGAGTAGCCATTTGCGTGAACATTTCAAAAAATGTCCAAAGTGGAATTTTAAAGATATTAGGGATTTGAGGCAACAAATCTTGGTGAAGGAACAAAAAAAGGCCGATGGTAAAGTGAGTCTAAACCCCTATCATTTTGATCAAGACATATCAAGGAAGGAGCTTGCTAATATGGTCATATTACATGAGTATCCTCTTACAATGGTTGAACACATTGGTTTTAAGAAACTTGTAACTTCTCTTCAACCGTCATTTAAGATGATTTCTAGAAACACGTTGAAGAGGGACATTTTGAACATTTATTATCATGAAAAAGGGAAGACTCTGATGAAAGTTGAAAAAAATTCAAGTAGAATTGCAATCACAACTAATATGTGGACTTCAAATAACAAAAAAAGAGGGTTCACGGTTGTCACATGCCACTACATTAATGACTCGTGGACTTTGAAAAGCCAAGTTATGAGGTACATATTTCTTTTAAGTGCATTTGAATTATTTAGTCATTCATATTTTATTTGTTTTATTTTAACTTTTTAATTTAATTATTTATTTTAGGTTTATTTATGTACCTTCTCCGCACACAAAGGAAGTTCTTTCTGAGGTTCTTCTAAATTGCATGTTAGAATGGAATGTTGATGGAAAGTTGTCCACAGTGATGATGGATAATTGTAATATGAATGATGCCATGATAAAAATTCTCTTGGACCAGCTCCAAGGGAGCCCACTCATCCTTAATGAATCATTGTTACATATGCGTTGTGCTGCACATATCCTTAATTTGATTGTCCAAGATGGTTTGGCCGTTATTGGTGATGGTATTGAGAAGGTTCGTGATAATGTAGTTTATTGGACAGGATCACCAAAGAGGAAACAAAAATTTGAGGAAACAACTAAACAATTGCATGTTGCATGCTCAACAGAGTTTATTCTTGATTGTAAGACTTGTTGGAACTCTACATATTTGATGATTTCTACTGCGTTAATTTATAAGGATGTCTTTTTTTTTTTACTTAGACAACGTGATTCATCTTAAAATTGCATGCCATGTGAGCTTGAGTGGGAGATGGCCAAACAAATTTATGAGAGGTTAGAGTTATTTTATAATGTGACTGAAGTGTTTTCTAGCACTACCTACCCTATTGCTAACATGTACTTTCCAAAGGTGTGTGAATTAAAAATTGCATTGTCTGAATGGCTCACTCGTGAAAATCAATTTGTTAAGTCGATGGCATCACGTATGTTGGAAAAATTTGATTGCTATTGGAAGGTGATTCATGGTATTATGGGTGTGGCAATTGCCTTAGATCCTAGATATAAGATGAAGTTGTTGAAGTGGTTTTACCCTTAAATGTATGGCGTTCAGGCTTTTGAAGAAATTGAGAAGATTAGCGTAATTTGTTGTAACTTGCTTGAGGAGTATAATTTAACGTTGATGGTTAAAGAAGCAATATCAAGTTGTGTCAATTCTTCATCTTCTAGGACAGAGAACTCTCAATCTACTACCAACGACTCATTTCCAGCTTTGATTTGTTTGTTAGTAGTGGTAGTGGAGCGAGTGTGAACATGAAATTAGAGTTGGATCATTACATTGAGAATGGAGTATTGCCAAGAACCATAGATTTTGATATTTTGAGTTGGTGGAGAAGTAATGGGCTTCTGTATCCTACTTTGCAACTCATTGCAAGGGACGTGTTGGCTATTCCCGTGTCAACCATGGCTTCCGAACCAGCTTTTAGCACTATTGGGAGATTGTTGAGTACACACCATAATCGACTTCATTTGAAGACCTTAGAGGCATTGATGTGTGCTCAAAATTGGTTATGGAGTGAAATTAAAGGTAAGCAAACTAATATTTTATTTATTTAATAAAATTAATTTTTAACTTTTTATTTTGTTTGTAAATATTTGATGTGATTTGTTTTGTTGTATATTAATTTCTTTTGTTTGCAAGTTCTTCACCTATGTCGGAAGATAGCACAATCCAAACAATTCTTGATGATTATGACAATCATGGAGAGGAAAGTGTTACTACAAAGCTTGATGAATAGATGCTACAAACTTGTTTTTGATTCATTGTCATGCTTTGTGAACTGTGAAGTTTCTCTTTTGGAATAGGTTTTTGTGATTCACAACTTAAGATAGTGCACATGAACTTGTTTTTGATTCATTGTTGTTGTTGTTTTTTTTTTTTTTTTTCAAGTGGAGAGGGAAAAAGGGTTTAAAATCACTTTTGGAATAGGTTTTTGTGGTTCACAGAGCTTGACAATAGCTACTTTGTTTATGATTTGTTGGAACACGAGATGGTGCTATAGGAACTTATGTATAAACCAGAAATTTCCTCATTGACAAATTTTTTTCCACTGTATGTTTGACTGATTTTTTTTATTTTATTTTATATTTGTATGTTTGGTTGATCAGAATTGCTTTGGTGTATGATTTTGTACATATTCTTGTTTTGAATATGGAATGTGTATATAAGGAATTACTTTTATTGTTTGAGCACTCAATTTGAATTGTGGGCAGGTATCTGCGAGGACGGGGATGGGAGAAAAAAATCCCACCCATAGCGGGGTTAGGACAAGGGTGGGGAATGATAAATCCACCCCAAATCTGTTCTGTGGCCATCCCCATCCAATCATCACTATGAATAAGGCAATCGATGACTCTTAGGCATAGAATAATCAATATAAAAAAATGAAGTTTTATTACAACCAATAGGTACATTCAAAAGCTTATTAAGATGCTGAAACTTTAAAGTAGAAGCATGACATAAATGAATAGCAACAAAATTAATAGGGATAGGGAGCTGGTGTACTAAACTGGGATGAGAAGAAGTAGGGTCACGAAAATGCGGAGGCTACTGTGGCTGCTGAGGAAATTGAGGCAGCTGAGGTTGCTGAGACTGTTGTGGAAGCTGAGTAGGATGTTGAGGCTATTGTGGAGAGGGAATGACAGAATTAGGTACAAATCGAGGCTGTAGAGAAACAGACCTAAGAGAAAAAGAAGATGGAGAAGAAGGCCAAATGAAGGAATAGAGAGTAAGTAAAGTAGGTGAAGTAGATGAGTGAGAAAAGGAAAAACTATTTCATGGAAAACAACATGTCTAGAAATAAGAGTTTGACCAGTATGCATATTTAAGCACCTGTAACCTGTAATGGATAGACAATAACCTAAAAAGACACAAGGGCTAGACTTAGTTTGTAGCTTATGAGTGGAAGAAAATCGAAGCCAGTGGTAGCAAAGGCAGCCAAAAACACCTTAAGCAAAAAAAAATCTAGAATAGTGTGAAACAAAAGTTGAAAATGAGAGGCATGAAAAAGGGAAGCACTAGGAAGTTTGCTAATAAGAAAAGTGGTAGTGGCAATAGCATCAAACCAGTAGGTGAGAGGTAAAGAAGACTGATAGAGAAGAGCAATAGCAGTTTCTGAAATGTCCCTGTGTTTGCTCTCTGCTACACCATTCTGAGAGGGTGTATGAGGGCAAGATTGTTGATGCAAGATGCCATTTGTTTTAATAAAATGCTTGATTTGATGATTAATAAATTCTTCTCCAC